CTGGCATGCTCTGTTTTTGCCCAACCCATGTTGGCTTTTGGCTATTAATTTGTTTATTTCTAGGTGTACGCTAATTCGTTGCTTGGTTATCTTTTCCAGAATCTTTCCTGGTATTGAGGTCAGGCTGAATACCATAAGCTAGGCAAATTCCTGTCCAGAGCTCAGTGAAAGATTTTAGTGACCTTGTTAGTGACAATCTAGGAAGATTTAAGATCCATTGCAACCTGACTAACATAGTGGCTCAAGGAGACACCTGTAGGAGAAGAGCAGGCAGAGCTGGGGGGAGGTGGAGTTAAATGCATCATCAGTTTAGAGTTGTTGCATTCCCACAAACAATCCTAGTCCAGCGCCTCCTGAATCCCATTGACCTGTATCTTGTGCCGCAGTTGCGTACGGGTTAGAGTGCAATACTGCAGGCTGTTTCTGCTGATCACCGGCTGCCAGCAGTTTGCAGATCGAATCTCACTAGGCTCAAGGTTGACTCAGCCTTTCATCCTTCCAAGTTGGGTAAAGTGAGGACCCAGATTGTTGGGGGCCAAAGGCTGACTCTGTAAACTACTTACGAGAGGGCTGTAAAGCACTGTGAAGCGGTATATAAGTCTAAGTGCTATTGTGCCACTTTAGTTGGTCAAACTTTAGTTGACCAAATTCTTCTGTATGGGCTTGAATTAATCTTCCATGCTGCCACTTTACAAATGGCCCTGATTCTTTGTGCCTGACAACAACCATTCAATGTTGGTAGGTATTAACTGACTTCTCTGTTTGCAGGTTACAAATTACGACAGTGCAACGGGCTTGCCACTAATACAACTGTGGAGCATGATAGGAGATGAGGTATGTGGGTCAATTTTGGGAGAACAGGTCCATAATATGTCATGATGATCCTGGAATTAAATCATCACTCATTACGATGACCTGGGTGATTTTGAACCAAAAGCAAAACCAAACTAAAATGTGCATTAGTAGACTTCTTCGTAGGGGCTGTTGGATAGATGTAGAAAGAGTAACAAGTAGACTTCGTACTTCAGAGAGGTGTTGGATCTCAGTCAAACGTCCCACCTGCTCTGGGTTGGCCTTGTTCCAGTCATCCGGGGAGGGGGGGGGGGCAGGTGGACACCACCAAACTTTTTTCTGTAGTCTTCAGTCCAGCTTATTAGATGGGCAGATGGTCTCCTCTTTAGTTGCATCTCTTTGGGTGGACAACAGTAGAGCCTGTAAGCCCATTCACCGGATATGCCAATCCTTCTTATCCACACAGACAGCGCCAAACAATGTGGGAGAACCAAGCCAGCTTGGTTTCGCTCCTCAGGATCTCAGCTGCTTTGAGGGAGCCTGGCTGATGCCTTTCTTGGAATTCTTTCTGATTATATTTTTGCAAAACATTCAAGAAAGGAAAAGCATCTGGCCAACACAATTTAGGGGGTGGGGGGGAATCTTGTTCGTGCACACGCATACAGAAATCCATCTGCCCTGCACACCCAGGAATGATATACCCCCATTTTGGGGTTTCTTCAAATTCCTCTTTATCCAAAAGCTAAAGCAGAGAAAAGCCACAAATTAGAGCTTTAACAGGAGGTACCAAGATAAGCCTTTCTGTTCATCCTCCAAATGGGGCCTGTTTGGCAGGAATTGAGTGGCAATTTCCAGATTTTTAGACACTCCTGCAAAGGAGATTAGTATTTCCAGGTGAGAGTTTCTCTAGCGTTCACTTAATGGACTTGTCATCAAAAGGCAAAAATCTTTATTTACAATGAGATTATTTATTGAATTCAGAACTTCTCATTTTTGAGTGAAATCAGCTGCTAAGCGTGTAGCATGTTAAAGCTGCCTGCCGTGGAATTTTTATTGCAACAGAGAAATTTAGCAATATGTTTTTTTAAAAATGATCAATATTCTTTGGTGGAAGAGCACATCAATTAAGCATAGGCAAAAAGGAAGGGGGATTTTTTAAAATTTGAATTAGAGACACTTGGTTTAAAATACAAACTTCACATTTTACGAACTGCGTTCATGCATAAGTAGTCCTCCCTTAACCTCCATTGCTACACAACATGGTCATTAAACAAGACTTTGTGTGACTGTGCTGAGCTTGTGTCACTTTTCCCTGCGGTTATTGTGAATTATTGCAGTTGTTCAGTGAGTCAACCCATAACTGTGACTTGTGACTTCCTGCTGTCTTCCCCAGTGACTTCGCTTGTCAGAAACCAGGTGTGTACAGATGACGATCGCGTGATAATGAGACAGGTCAACGGCCGTATAAATATGGGGGCTTCAAAGCACCATGAATGGTGATCATGTGACTGGGGGAGGGATGCTGCAGCAGCCATAAGTTCAAGGACCAGTCATAAGTCGTCTTGTTCAATGCTGTCATAACTTTGAACAGTCACAAAGTGAGTAAGTGAGGGCTACCTGTACTGTCTTTCCACAAGATACCTACATGCACACACACACCCGAAATACTGCCTCATTTAAACTCTGAGCGGAATAGGTAGTCCTCAACTTAGAACAGTTCAGTTAGTGACCGTTCAAAGTTACAGCTGCCCTGAAAAATGAGACTTATGGGGGCTTTTCACACACAACCGCTTTAGCATCCCCATGGTCACATGATCAAAATTCAGCCTGTTGGCAACTAACTCACATTTGTGACTGTTGCAGTTTTCCCAGGGTCCTGCGATCAATTTTTACGACCTTCTGACAAGCAAAGTCAATGGGGAAGCCAGATTCACTTAACAACTGCAGTGATTCACTTAACAACCATGGCAAGGAAGGTCCTAAAACAGCCCTAAAAAGTCACTTTTTAGTGACTTTCGTGCAGGCGCCGTGCGCATAAGCGCCAAAAAGCTCAAATACAGGTGAAGGCGGGCGGGTGGGCCCTCCAGAGTACTGTACCGGAACAGTATCTGGTGCTCGCAGTAGGCAGCGGTACGCCCGTACTGGGGCATACTGCTTGCAACCCACCACTGGGCCAGTCCTACCCCTGGGCATGTTCCATGGCACGAGGGCTACAACTGACAAAGCCATGACTTGTTGGCACACATAGTTGGGATCTTCAGGATGCCTTTCCTGGATGTTTGCCCAGATGGGCAAAATCTGTTTGACAAGGCGATTTGAAGAATTATCCAATTGCAACAAAAAAAGATCAAACTGAATAGCTGAATCCCCTGAAAGAGGAAATTATGCTTCACTAAAATCAGCTTTCTATCTCTACTAGCTTCAAAGGGAATTCGGCATCAGTTCAGCTTCAATGCAAAAAGCCAGCTGCAATTTTTTTTAAAACATGGCCTAGTGCAGTGGTTCTCAACCTGTGGGTCAAGACCCCTTTGGGGGTCGAACGACCCTTTCTCAGGGGTCACCTAAGGTTTGCAGACTTTTTGCTGTTTCCAGGGAAATCCTGCAGGCCTGATCTAAGTACCCCGTGGGCCGAATCCAGCCCCGGGCCTTGAGTTTGACACCTTTGATATAAATAAATCCCCAAATGGCATCAACAACTGTCAGAGAGTTAACAACAGACCCTCAGAGTAGTAATGACCAGATGACTGCAAAGAATATAAATCCTTCCATTCCCCGACCTGTAAGAACTGAAGAAGCTTCTTAGATGAGATGGGAAATGTTTTCAAAGGGAAAAAAAAACACAAGAAAGTCCATTTGCCTTTTGGAAAAGCACCTTTGAGATAACCATGACCTAGATCAGTGTTTCTCAATGGTGGCAATTTCATGTCATGTAGACTTCATCTCCCAGAATTCCCTAGTCAGTCATGCTGGCTGGGGAATTCTGGGAGTTGAAGTCCACCCATCAGCCAAGTGGCCTAGGTTGAGAAACACTGACCTAGATGATTGAGAATCTCTAAGACACGTAGCCAAGATGTCAACCCTGAAGAGGACCTGGCTGAAGCCATCCTTGAGGCTTCAGGGTTGCCACAAGGTGGGGGGGGGAAAGGGAGGGGGGGGAAATTAGATAGATCAGCTTTGCAGTCAAAATAAAAAAGTTTTTTTGTGGGAACCAAGGTCATTCTATTAGGCAGCTGAGAAGAGGAGGAGTGGAGTAACCAAACAACTTGTCAGCACCTCTATTGGACAATGTGACCAATGATCTGGGGCAGTGATGACTAACCTTTTTTTGTCATGTGCTGAAAGCGTGCAATAATAATGCAATGCAATAATGCAATGCCTCCCCCCCCCCCGGAACATGCATGCGCCCTGCCCCCTCCCCTCACTCATTTTTTGTTCCAGGTTGCTGCAGGAGGTTTTCCAGGCCCAAAATGTGCGGAAAGGCCTCCTGCACCAACCTGGAAGCCAAAAATGGGTGAGGGGGGGGGGAGCATACACAAGGCTTCAAGGTGCAATGTGAGTGCCTCCAACATGCATCCTGTACATGCACAGCAGAGACCACGGATCTGGGGGGGGGAAGGGGAAGATTTCACTTTTTAACTAGGTGAAAACCGCAGGAACTTTCAGTGTTGGTTTTCACCAGTTGTGCCAACATGATGTACCCAATAAATTGTTCTTTGAGGAATCTACCTGCCTGGGAGGTCTGCTTTCTATGGGTATATTACTTGGAACGCTGACATCTGACTGTGCAAGATCACTTCATTTGCCCTGTTGTTGCTGGGATCACTCACTGATGTTTCTCTTTTTTTTCTCTTCCAGTTGGTGTCCATCAACCGAACACTGGTGGAACGAGGATTTGCTCAGTGGGTGGAAAGCTACTAGCAAACCCCTTAACCCCATCTTCTGGACTGTTCTTTCCTCCTCCCCCCCCCCCCGTCCCTTTGACTTTCTTTCCTCTTTTTGGCACTGTTTCAAAATTAGGATTTTGTAGTCCTTCTTCCCGCCCCTTCCCCCCCCACCTCTCCACCTCCACCCACCCCACACAAGCAAATCAGTCATTATTTCCACCAGCGATTTGTGATGAATTCATTTGACTGACCACAGTTTGTATAGCATACCTCATTTTGTTGAAAAGGCAGGGAGTTGTACCATAAGCCATTAAACAAAAACAAACCACAGCTTTAAAACTTGGCTCTTCCCCTTTGGTCAAATGTCAAGTTGTTTAAAAAAAAAGAAGAAGAAGAAAAGAGAAGAAAAGAAAAAATTGTAATAATAGAGCAAAGAGGTTTGCACCAGTTTGGCTGTGTGTGTATGGTTTAAGGCATGTGTTGAGCGTAACGAAATTTGACTGCTGCCTTGACATTAAACTGACTTGAAATAGAGGAGATAAATTTGATTCAGAAATTCCCCTCCCTCCCCCCCCCAAAAAATATATTAATAAAATATTTGAAACTTGGGAGCACATCCGACATAATAGGCATATCCATGTTTCTAATCACAAAAGCTAGCTACCTTACCTAGAACGCTTTGGTTCTAGGTAAGGCCCACCTGCCCCCTTGTTTGATTGTGACTTCACTTTTAATTAAGGCTTGGTTTGTGAAAGAAATCAGGATACCTTCATTTTGCAAACCACCTGAAACAATGAATTTGACTTCAACCACTACAGCTGCGGCGTTTTTTAAATTCCCGGTCATGTTGAATACCCAGAGAAAAGAAAAAATGGATCGCCAATCCTGATTGTAAGACATCACTGTTTTCTAGCTGTTTGGAAGAGAAAAAAAAAACCTATGTAAATATATATAAAAATCATTGTAATATTTTGTACAAGAGAAAAAAATAATACTGGAGAATTAAAAAAAAGGGAACTTCAAACAAAATGAATTTTTTTTCCATACCAAAATGTCCTCTGTAGAGAAATAGTTTGGGGTGTATCATTACACCGCTTAAAACACTAGAATGCGTGAAAAACTTTTGACCTTTGTGCATGATTCTTTCCCCTGCTTGCTGTATGGTAGGAAGAGTAATAATCAGCAAATTCTTATTGCTTTTTTGCTGTACAGATCTGACTGAACGGGGAAAAAACGAGTAACATTTGGAATTAATATTGCAGTGGTGTCTCTCTTTTTTTTTTTTTTTTTTTGCTCCTTTTTAGATTGGTTTCAAATGTGGAATTAAAAAAAAAAAGAATCAAGTAATTTAAGCTAATTTAATACTATTAAAATATAAATGAATTTAAAACATGGTTGCTGAGTTGGGAGTTATTACCGAAGGGAGAGAATGTAAAAATGTCTTGTATGTATGTCAATTCTATTGCAGATTTTTTTTTTTTGAAATATTGGTCTTATATAGAACATGGAGTGTATGGCAAAACCTTCTTCCTCAAAAGATGTAGAAAAAAAAAGTATTGTGTGAATCGGTCAACCTTTAAGATTTTCAGCAATTAAATGCCTCTAAATGTGAGGGACTAGTGTCATGGATTTCTTTTGTATGATTAAAGTATTTGGTTAAAAGACGTGGCCAAATTTTTTCGAGGAACTTAATTTTTTACTTTTTGAGAAAATTCCCTGGCTGGGGAATTCTAGCAATAGCAATAAGACTTGTATACACCGCTTCACAGTGCTTTAATAGCCCTCTCTAAGCGGTTTACAAAATCAGCATATTGCCCCCCAAAATATGGGTCCTCATTTTACCCACTTCAGAAGGATGGAAGGCCAAGTCAACCTTGAGCCTGGTGAGATTCGAACTGTCAAATTGCAGGCAGCCGGCAGGCAGCAGAAGTAGCCTGCAGTACTGCACTCTAACCACTGCACCGCGTCAGCTCCACAGATCCACATATCTTAAAGGTGATGAGGTTGAGAAACACTGACCTAATAATAGAGTTTGGGTCTTTATTTTGATTTTTTTAATTGCCACAGTCGGGACTTAAAGGTGTACAAAAAGGAATCGCAAAAAAAAAACTGTACAAGAGGAATCACAAGATCAGTGGCCACAAACATCCATGATACACTGCAACCATTACGGATATGAAAACTATGTGTAAACTTACAGCAGCGAGTGGAGTCACAAAATGGCTGCCATGAAGTCAGTTACCAAAGAACCAGAAAGCAAAGGGAGAAGAATGTATAAAGCCCTTCCTACGTGTTTTGCTACCCCGCCCCTTGCTAACGGTTAATCAGGAAAAGCTGAGAAGAACCAGCCTTCCAATTACAACCAGAAATGGGACCAGAATTTCTGTTTCTAAGCAAAATGGTTGTTAAGTGAGTCATACCTGATTTTAATAGCTTTTAAGTCCTGTTAAGTGTTTGATGAGCCACTGCCATTGTTAAGGGAATCACGGGGGTTGTTAAGCAAATCTTGCTTGTAGGAAGCCATCTAGGAAAGTCACAAAAGTTGATCCCAGGATGCAGCAACTAAATGCTTTAACACCAACTAGTAAATATCTTAAAGGTAAAGGTTCCCCTTGCACATATGTGCTAGTTGTTCCTGACTCTAGCGGGCGGTGCTCATCTCAGTTTCAAAGCCGAAGAGCCAGCGCTGTCCGAAGACGTCTCCGTAGTCATGTGGCCAGTATGACTCGTCGCCGAGGGCACACGGAACTCTGTTACCTTCCCTCCAAAGGTGGTCCCTATTTTTCTACTTGCATTTTTACATGCTTTCAAACTGCTAGGTTGGCAGAAGCCGGGACAAGTAACGGGAGCTCACTCCGTTAAGCGGCGCTAGGGATTTGAACTGCTGAACTGCAGACCTTTATGATTGACAAGCTCAGCGTCTTAGCTACAGAACCACCACGTCCCTAAATAAATACTTACTAGTTACCAAACTCCTGAATTTTGAAGACATGATCCGGGGAATGTTATAACATTTCATGAGGACCGGTCATATGTCATTTTTTTATCCATTGCAACTTCAAATGGTTGTTAAAGGAATACTTGTAAGCCAAGGTCTCTCTGTATAGCCAAAATGGTGCTGATTTAAACTCTTAAGGACCTGGATTTGTGAGCTTTTATGCATAAGAGAAAATGCCAGCAAGCAATATTTATTAGAGGCTTAAAAGTCCTACATGGGGATATCTTCCAGATAAACCTTCGCCGGTTTCAATGTTGTGCACACAACATCAGTTTCAAGTGCAAAAATGAGGTTGACCGTATAACAGTTGGAAGGGATCTTGGAGGTCTTCTAGTCCAACCCCCCCTGCTTGAGCAGGAGACCCTATACCACTCCAGACAATGTAACAATTTAAACCCGTAGGGCACACAGCACCTCAACAACAACAAAAAGGATTTCAAAACAGCCTGGTTTCACACACTGGGATGAGTGTTGCGCAGAAGACACGGGCTTTGGTGCACAAAAGGAGCGTTTGGAACTGGGTGAAATCAACTGTCAGGCTTGGAAGCCATCTTTTGCATTGGGCCTTCAAGCCTGCCACATTTCATGCTGTGGGAAAATGGGAGGAGGGATTCTATGGAGTATGGGAGATATATAGTCTAAATAACATTCCTTTCCCAGAAAGTCAAGGACATCTGCCCTGCAGCTGCAATGAGGTGAATGGGAGGCATCTCCTCTTGGATGGTACCTGATTGGGTCATGTGATGGACATCTGGGTGCTGGACAGGGACTTGAATTTTCACTTGGGTGGGGAAAACCTGGAAGCTTTCAGATTTGGGTTTTCCCAGATGTGCCAACATGACATCTCTCATAAAATGGAACTTTGAGGAAACTCAAACTTGGAGTCTTCTTTCGTTTGGGGGTGTTACTTGGAACCCTGAGATCAACCCCAGGGTGAGGCATAGACTGAACCTATCCTATTTTGGACTCCATGCGAAGACCCAGCTCTCTGGAGAAGGCTGGGATTCTGGGAAGGATGGAAGGTAAGGGAGGAAAAGGCTCACCAGCAGGAAGGAGGAGGGACTCAGTTACAGAGGCGATGATGGGTACACCATTGGGGCTATCTGAAAGACCAGGTTGGCGGAAGATCATTACTGAGAAAATCTATGTGGTTGCTAAGAGTTGACAGCAGTGGTGGGTTGCAAATGTTTTTTCTACCAGTTCGGGCATGCTCCCGTGTGCTCTTGCGTGTGCGCATCCATGTGGGTGGAAGAGGCCTCCCGCCACTGCTACTACCGGTTCTGCCGAATTGGGGCAAACTGGGAGCAACCCACCACTGGTGATCAGTGACTGGATGGCATGTAATCAATAAAGCAGATCGTGAATACGGTATTCCTCTCCTAAGACTTAGTTAATTCCCTGCCTGCTTTTTAAAATAGCAATAGCACTTAGACTTATATACCGCTTCACAGTGCTTTACAGCCCTCTCTAAATGGTTTAGGGTTGCGGTGGCTCAATGGCTAAGACACTGAGCTTGTTGATCAGAAAGGTCAGCAGTTCGGCAGTTCAAATCCCGTTACTTGTTCCAGCTTCTGCCGACCTAGCAGTTCAAAAGCATGTAAAAAATGCAAGTAGAAAAATAGGGACTAACTGGTGAGAAGGTAACAGCGTTTCATGCGCCTATGGCGTTTAGTCATGCCGGCCACATGAACATGGAGACGTCTTCGGACAGCGCTGGCTCTTCGGCTTTGAAACAGATGAGCACCGTCCCCTAGAGTCAGGAATGACTAACACATACGTGCGAGGGGAACCTTTACCTTTTACTAAGCGTTTTACAGAATCAGCATATTGCCCCCAACAGTCCAGGTCCTTATTTTACCCACCTCGGAAGGATGGAAGGCTGAGTCAACCTTGAGCCTGGTGAGATTTGAACTGCCAAATTGCAGGCAGCCGGCAGTCAGCAGAAGCAGCCTGCAGTACTACACTCTAACCACTGGGCCACCAAGGTAAATAAAGTAATTTATAGCATGCTTTGGTCAAACCAGTGAGGCCCTTCATCTGGAGAAGACCTCTGATTTTCTTTATGGAAAGAACAAGTGTAGTATTTTTTTTGTCTCTTTTCTAGCCAATGAGATCCTCAAAGGCAAGATCATGTAAAAATAATTATTTGAATAATTAATTATTTGAATAATTAGAGGTCAGTAGAACCCTCTCCCATAAACCTATTTTTTGCACACCAGAGTAATAATATTAATATAACAGCACTGAAAAAAGGGACATGACTTTTTCACACCACCGTTGCAGCATCTCCATGGTCACATGATCAAAATTTGGATGCTTGGCAGCTGACTCAAATTTATGACGGTTGCAATGTCCCAGGGTCATGTGATCACCTTTTGCAAACTTCTGACAAGCAAAGTCAATGGGGAAGCCAGATTCGCTTAACAACCATGTTACTAACAACTGCAGTGATACACAATTGTGCCAAGAAAATNTCCAGTTTTGGTCACCACAATGTAGAAAAGATGTGGAAACTCTAGAAAGAGTGCAGAGAAGAGCAATAAAGAGGATTAGGGGACTGGCGACTAAAACTTAGAGGTCTTTTAGTCCATCCCCTGCTCAAGCAGGAGAATCTGGACTGTGGTCTTAATTACTTCTTTAAAACCTCCAGGGATGGAGTACCCACAACTTTTAGGGGCAAGCTGTCCCACTTGTTAATCGTCCTCACTGTTAGGAAGTTTATATTCTTATATTATCTTATCCCAGAGGGAGCCCCCTTGTGGAGTACGGTGAAGCCGTTACTGTGGCAACTCTACTGTGCTGTACAGTAGAATCCATTTTAAGGCACAACAGGCTGCATCTTAACAGAACGCACACACCAGGGAGACGTTAGGGGTGTCTTACTCCCACAGTATTTTTTCTCCAGAGAGTAAGTCATCTGTGTACCAAGTTTGCTTGAAATTGCTCGAGGCGATCTGGAGGTATGCTGGAACATGCATACATACAGCCTTTATAGAACAGAAATAGCAGAAGAGAATGCAGAAAAGAATAGAATTTGAACAGGACAGAATGCAGAGGGGGGGGGAAAGTAGAATAGAATGCAGAAAAATGCAGAATGGGGGGGGAAAAGCTAGAATTGAATTTGAATAGAATTCAACAGAAAAAAATAGAATAGAAAATAGACTGTGATAAGGTAAGACAAGATAAGATAAGAAGAAGATTCTGACAGAGCAACCTTCATGTCAGGTTTTCCTCCAACACTGACAATTAAAAAAAAAACTTTCTAAGCTTTACCCACATGCTCGCTGTCAATAATTTATGGCCTGCTCCACACTCCATGCTTAGAATTTCCCTTCCGTGGCTGGAGGATAATTTTCTCTACTTTGGCTTCATGTTGATGAGCTTTTGAAGGCTTTTTTTTGACCTGGGCAAGGAGCCAATGTAGCATGTCCTTAGGGCAGGAGGACACAACTCACGATCCTTCCACCCAGTGTCACGCAATGTGACACAAATTCGGGTTGCCGACTCGGTGAAATCACATCAGGGTATTGGTATGGGGGTGCCCAGACTGATCTCTGCATTTATATTGTTGAGGTTGGGACTGTCTGATTGGAACGGAATAGAAGGCAGAAAAA